TCCCTTCCAGCCCTAATGTCTATGAAATCTATGAAAAAGTCTATGAAATGAGGCGTTTTCTTCCAAAAGAAGTGCAACTAGCTCTCTGTATTAAGAAGGTGCAATGAATGTTTCAGTCTTGTCTCTAGACATGGGTTGCTACCTGCAATAAGAAGCTACCTGAGCTAATGGAGCAATCCTAAGCATGGAATTACTGGTGTGTGGATCATTTTAACAATTAAAAAATACAAGCTAGGCCTGTCTCTCCTTTGTATACCAGTTTACTCAAAATTTAAATATAAACAACCACTCTGTACAAAGACTTGTGCAATGGAACAAGAATCCTGTCTACTCTAAGAAAGATCAGATTCTGTTTTTTCTTTTTAATGGTAGTAACGTTTTCTAAACCATCTCTACAGTTTCAGTAGGATGCTGCTGTAATCACAATTCATTTTACCATATTTTCTTGCATACAGTATGCCTCCCCCACCCCAAAGTACCTTGCTTTTGAAAAACAGAATGAAGAAGAAAGAAAAAGATCTTTCCTTAAAAATACTGCTAAGTACTTTTCCAAGAAAACAGCAGGGGAACCAAACTATGGCTGTTCTGCTAAACCCCAAGTTGCAGGATGCTGCAGGTACTGCTGGCTGAGTCAAACTGCCCAACTCCTCTTAAGGTGAGCTGGGTGGGCAGCTGGCAGTGCCTGCCAAGAAAGCTAAAGATTTGATCCTAGCCAGCAGCACCTGTGGAGTCAGCTGGGCCCATCCTACTGATTCAGGAGGAGGCCCTGTCCCTGCACCTGGGGCTCCTCTCTGCTTTTGAAAAAAAGCTTCTGCAACATGAGCCTCTTCTGAGGAAGGAAAGAGAAAGTGCCATAGAATAGAAAAGTAGATAAGGAAGGGACCTTCAGATGTCATAGAGTTCAACCCCACACCAAAGGCAGGATCATTCGTATGCAAAACATCCTATATAAATCCATTTTAGCAAAACCACACAATCAACCCTGACTCAACAACAAAGTACCCTAACCTACCATGGGTAAAGCAGAAGAAGAGTGGTGGCCAATGTGCTGCTGCTGCAAAGGTTGTTAAAATACACTTGAGGGATTCCCGGAAGAGGGCTGTGTCCCCCTGCTACAGAGGAAGGCAAAAACCTCCCAAGCCATACCAATCTGACCGTGGGATAAAAAAAAAATTCCTTCCTGACCCAAATATGGCAATTAGTCTGATCCTGAGCAGGGGGCCAAGACCCTCTAGCCAGAAACCTCCAGATTTAAGTTTTAGCAGGCGCCTTGGCACACTCCAGGCAAAATCCCCACCCTTCATTGTAGCTAACACGTAATGCTTATAAGGAAGGCAGAAAAAACAAACCCCTGACATATATATCAACAAGAGGTTGCCTCATATGGCAACCAGCAATGCCCAGAAGCATGGAAAATATTGACAGCAGAACACGGGCATATCTAGGACTATTCTGACCAATGCTTGTCCAACCTGTTCCTGAATACCTCTTCCAATCATGGAGATCCCTCAACTTCCCTAGGCAATCCACTCTTTCACTCTTCTAACACTGAAGTTCTTATGTTCAGTCTAAACCAACTTTGCTGCAACTTCAAGCCATTGGCCCATGTCCTGCTCTTTGCAGGAAGAGATAAAAAGTGTTTTCCCCTCTTCTTTACAGCAGCCCTTCAGATATTGAAAGCTGTTATCACATCTCCTCTTAAGCACCTTTCCCCCCAGCTGAATATGCCTATTTCCTGCAACTACATCTTGCATGGCTTGCCTTCTAAACTCTTTATCATTTTTGTTTCCTGCCTCTTTACTTTCTCTAACATCTCCATACCCATTTTAAAATGTGGTGCCCAAAACTGCATGCACTACAATAGATGAGAGCTAACCAGTACTGAGTAAAGAGGCACTGTCACATTCTCTGTCTCCCATCTAATACTTCCACTGAACAGGCCAGAACTGCACGCACCTTTTGTGCAGGGTAAAGGCCTGCCAGGCCATTCAATCTGGCCTGCGGGGCCCCTAAATTTAGAAAATTAATATTTATCTGCCCCTGGCTGCCTGTCATGTGGCCCTCAATGGCTTCCCAAAACTCAGTAAGCGACCCCCCAACCTGAAATAATTGCCCGCCCCTGTGCTACTGCATCACACTACAGACTCATATGGAGACAGTTTTCATGCCTGTCCTTCCTCTGCTCCTGCTACATGTCACCACAAATGAGGACTAAGAATAGCTAATGCAGACAGCTCTCTGCAAAGCATGGGAAGGCAGTGACAGCTTCTTCCCTTCCTCTCTTTCCTCATAGCTAACGTAACAGCAACAGCAAGAAAGAGCTGGGGAGAACTGAAGCAACAGTTCTTATGACCCTCTCTCATATGCTCAGTCCTTTCACATCCCACATCCAGCCCTCACACTTCATCCCACAATGTCTGGGCACTTCCAGGCACAGAGAGATGCAGTTAAAGTTTAAAGCAAAAAGCAGAAGGGAAGACATGGCCTAAATCTCAGAGAAAGCAAGCCAACTGACAGTAACGGAGTGGGGGGAAGTGCAAAATAAAAAGGGACTTGTAAAGGACTTAAAAATATTGTTTGGCTAACATGAGCCTTTTTTATAAAGTGGCTAGTATAAATTAAAAGTTCTTGTAATTACATTTTAAATTATTAACTCTACAAATACTGACAGGCTCAGGCATGCTCCTATCAGGTCTTAAAACATCCTGAATTCGGATTCAAGTAAAAAACAACTAAGACAGGAGAAGCCGATTAGTAGCATTTATGTTTTGCAGTTTTTCCCCATTCTGTGGTACAAACCAAAACAAGTTGACCACACTGATAGACCTAGAAACTGATCTAGAGTATTATGGTTCTTAAAAAGACAAAGCTATTCTCCCCTCATTAAAATGCAAAAGTTATCTTTTTTAAAGTTTTAACTAGTTAACAATCAGGGAAAACTTGAAACAAGAAAGCAGACTACACACAAAATTCTGTTTGAAATTATTTCTGCTCCAAAATTCAGGAGTTACAAATGAGCTGTAAAACAGACTTTAAGAATAATGAAACGGGCTTAAAAACATCCTCTGGCCAAATATTTCTAAAATATTTCTAAATATTGCTGTTTCAAAATTCTCACCTTTTCCAGTGAAGGGTGAGGAGTTTTGTGGGTCATCTCTCTTCACAAAACAACTGCAGGGTTCAGATAGACTCAGACAAGCTTTTCAATGATGGTCCAGGAATTACGGAAGAAGGAAGGATTTTTGTGGGCAATCTCTTATTGGACCCACTATGTGGTTGGTTGGGATTGGCATTGGAAAGCTTGTCTGAGTCTATCCAAACCAACCATGCGGTGGCTCGAATAAGAGAGATCGCCCACAAAAATCCTTCCCTTGTCCATAATTCCTGGACCATCATAGTTATACCATCACTGCAACATCATCATTTACTGCACCATTTTGCCACTTTCACTCCACAACAAAACTATGCTTAGCATAAGACTTCTTGAAGCAGCTAATTACTCAGCATGAACAAGCAGAATTAGGTGGCTCCATATAATCAGTGTTGCCAGCTCATGATTTCTGGCATCATTCTGAAAGTCTACGCTTCGGGAATGTGAAACACTTAGCTCTTTCTTTTATGTATATTTATACAATATATAAAAGAAACATCTAAGTTTTTCACATTCCCGCAGCAAAGACTTTAAGAACAACACCAAGAATCATGAGAGTTGGCAGTACTGAATAATCCAAATCAAGGAGAGCAGTACCTGAAGGAGGCTCGTATAGCTCCTGTGGCACCACTCACACTCGCTTCGCCTTTGGCTCAAGAAGGCGCAATCACAGGAAAGACAGCTTGTTCTGACTTCAAAACTACCTTTCAAATCGCCTCTTGCTAAGGTGGTCGGAGGCAGCGGGTTGTTTCCGTGAAGTCTGCTCAGACCTGCCCAAACAAGCACCAGCCTGACCCGCCTTTGGAAAGAATATGCTGCGCAAAACCACCAAGGTGGATGGGAACCGGGGATTGTCAGGGACCTGCTAAAATGTAAGGAGGCAAGGTGACTAATAGGCCTGCTAAAATGTAACCAGGTGCCAAAGCCAAGGAGTTCCTTCCCCCTCACCGCCTCTTAGAAAACTCCCAGAGAAACCACGCGGGCAAGAGGGCACAGAAAAGAAAGCAGGGAGCAAGCAGCCTCCTCCAGGTTTCAGGCCAGCCCACGATGCTGCCCCAGCCCTTTACCTCTGATCCCGGGGGGGACGCGGCAGCTGTGTCGGGGCCCCCCGCGCCCGGCAGCTGCCTCTCCGCGCTCGGGGCG